AAAAAGAGAGAGAGAGAGGAGCGTATTAACAGCTCTGCGAATCATGAAACGAGATCACGGCCGATTCAATAGCTACACCTGACGCCAAGTGGAGGGTCCTCGCGGTCCTAAGGGAGTAATCCCGGTGCGTGACACCGAACCAGACGAAGTTCCGTCGGTTTAATCTAATTCGGTCGGCTCGCGAACGAGTTGCGGGGGCTTTTCAGATCCGGTGGCACGCTTTTCTCCGACCGTGGCCACGCCGCTCGTCGTTCGATCATCGACCGAAATAGCATTGGCATTGTTCCGTTTCCCTCAAGAAGAACCGGCTCTCTCGGGTGCGGGCAAGGAGGTCGACTAATTTCGACCTCCGCCGCCGCCACCGTCGCCGATAGGATACGATGTCGCGAGCACGCGTTTCTCCTACACCGGGAGATTACACGCCAATCGCATCTCTTTCGAGAGAGTCGAAGTGTTTGACGTTGTTTTTCTTTTACGATTCATCGATTAGCCATTATCCGCGAACGGCACGCACACATGGGAAGACTTGTTCCGAGTCGGTTCCTTGGCTTTTACGGGCAGAGTCAAGGTCCTCCACTCGGCGAGTCCAATTTGCTTTTCGACAAGGTGTAGTCCGATTGTATGCTCAATGCTTTAGCAGTTCGTTATTGAATATCATGACGCTACTTATAACATCAAATTGATATCTCTCTTATTATTTATTTCTCTTTTATGCCACCGGTTTTTTATACGCGCTGTTACTTTTTCTTCATATATTTTTATTGAATATCTTTACGACTCTCGGAAAACTTGGAGTGTTATATCAGTATTATTATTATTATTATTTCTCAATAAAACACCAAGATTATTAAAGATAAACATGCGATCCAATGGTAATTCACGCAACGATTAATAATAGCATTTATTATTAATAAAGTAAAATGTCAAAAATATCAAGTATAATCAATAAAGATTATAAAATAAGATACTCATCCGAGAATCAAAGTTGCCGGTAAGCATTTTAAAATTTTTTAACTCGCGTGTGATTGTGTAGAAAAGATAGTTCGATAAATCTAAGAGAAATATTAAAAATAAAAATGTACAATTTGCGGCATAAGAGGAAGATGATCTTTCAACGTGTTGCATTTATACCGTAATCGCATAGAGAATAATAAGAAGGTGAGGCCTTATCCTCTCATCATTCTTTCACAATGTGGATCTCTCATCGAGCAAAAGATCTCTCGGATCTTAATTGTAATTGTGTGCTAGTGGACGTTCAACACGTTGGATAATCTGACGGGTAAATTCGCGAAGCGAGACGTCGCGAGACACAGCGCCGATTTATTTTGGTTTGCATCTCGATACGCTGTCGACGTACACGTTTATTTTCGGCGCCAGTCGGGGAAGTGGTCCGGACCGGTGGATTGCGCAGCCGATGCTCCATCACCCACTCGTGTCTCGCGTGTTTTGCGATTCTTCATTCTCCGATTCCATTTCACGTCTTCGAGGAATTTTAATGGAGCATATCGAACACTTCCGATGAGAAAAAATTCAATAAGACGCAAGAACATTAAATTTTGAAGCAGAGATATCATATTTTCAAAAAAACTGAGAAATTAATTAAAATAACTTAAAGGGACTATAATGCAATCATTGCTAGACATTGAACAGCATTATATTTATTTTTTTATTAAATAATTTTAAAATTCGTCTTGTAATTTTCGCAAATTCAGCTCTTCGCAATCACGATTGTTTTTTTTTACGGGAAAAGCCATAATTTCTTGAATTAATTTAGAAAGAATAGAAAAAAAGGGTTTCGTGTTGGATATTTATTATCTCAGTACTTATCTTAACGCGTTTAAAAGAAAATGCTTTTCAACACGTTATCTTAAAGTCTCTCGGTATTTACAGATAATTCATATCGCATAAAATTGCACCAAGAAATGAAATGGTGAATCATATCCTACGTGAGACAAATGATAGTGACACTTGAATTAACGTGAAATTTATGCATTTTTAATAAAACAAAGAGAAGATTAAGATTATCTTAATCTTTGCAATCGTTGCAAAAGAGTATCGGCATTACTTAAATCTCAATTCTTGCATCACGAGTCTTATTCGAAAGCGGAATAATTATAATAATTTATCGCATAGAGATTTTAACGCAGATAAATCTTTCAGTTCTCTGTTACTATTTTTTTATAATTAACATCGACATTATTAAATCTCTGATATGTAATGAATTGCAAAAAACATTTAATGTTTTCATGTTATATCTTATTGAGAAGAAATTTAATTTTCTTCTATTCGCGATATTATATAAAAATTTATTTTATTATAAGATTGAAAGATCAAAAATTTGCTTTTCATTATACATTAATACACTTTCTCATCGATTCTCAAATATCTTTATAGATTCTTAAAAAAATCCTTAAATCCCGTGATGTCTAAATGATTATTTGTGAATAAAGCATGAGTGTTGACAGAATGTTGACATATTTAACTCGTACGACCTTATCGTCAATGAGACAATGCGTGTTGACCGTTTAGCACGCGCTCTCTCGTTGTATCTGTATTTTTGTCACATTGTTATCTTGTTTGCCCGCTCGCCTCGCGACTGGGACGCGATAAATCGGCGGACGATCGCGGGGGAGGCGTCGTCGCTTCCGTGAAATCCGACTTCTCCGGATCCCGCGGATCCCGATCGAGTTGCATCGGGCGGAATATGGATCATCGAGGGGTTCGATAAGGGGTTCGATCGCTCCGGAGGCCGTCGCACCGATATCTCCTCGTTGGAGGCGCGCCAGAGCGATGTACCGCGCGCAAAACATGCGGTATCGGGGTATCGTGAATCCCGACGTTGAATCCGCATAAACCGATGAGGTAACCGAAATAAAATCTATCGGGTGAACGCCAGAAACTCACACTCCGACTTTTGGGCGACCGCGGCGGACCGCGCGCGCGTAAACACCAGGCGGCGTTAAATGCCACGCGCGAGAATCCTCGAGTATGTGGCGAGCGAGTGTATCCGGCGAATCGAACACAGAGCCAATTTAGAATTGCAACTTCGAATTATTCTCAATCCAGCTAACAGTCCCGCGAAATTTAGCTTTATCCGAGTGGAAGCTCGTATCTCTCTTTCACTCGCTCCGACAAGTCTAGTGTAGAGGCTTTTTAATTGAATAACTGTACTTTTACTCCTAACTATATTTTACTCGGCTTGAAAGAAAAGGGGGAAAAATATAATTGCGATTAATAAAAGTATGAAAGGACGGTTTTATTGAATGATTATCATCAATGATAGAACGATGATAAAGAATTATCATCTATGCTATAAAATTTAAAATTAACTATGCAATCATCACGGAGTTACACTCTTACACTTTACGTCCCATTAATACTGCAATAGTTTAATGAAATTTTAATCTTAATCTTACTTTATGATATACAGAAACTCACAGCTGAAAATTTATAATTAAACTCAATCGACGGGAGCGAAGGTGACTATCAGATAAATCAGGGTCGAAATGAAATGAATCGGATAATCATCAGTGGCTAACTGCCAAATTAATGTACTATGTATATACGGTGATTATCAAACTTAAAAATTCTGTTTACCTCTCCGAAATACGTCAGATCTACGCTTCTGGCAGCCATGCGGATTACTGGCGTCATCATATGATCGAAATATTCAGGTCATTCCGACGAACGAGAGTCGCATTCGATGCGCTCGCACTCGAACGTCGAAGTTTGCTTTTTCCTCGTGAACAAGGCGCGATTATCGAATACGATCGGACACGATCGATGATCGACGGTATTGGCAACCGGCAGTGGCGACTGCGGACCGACGTCGCTAATTACTATCCGCGCCGATCGATCGCCGTTTATCGGCATCGCCATTAGGGACAGGGACTTCGCGTCCAGGGACATTCAGGCTAACTTTAGCCTTTAGCCGGGCCCCGCACATCGTGCCCGACGTCTCGCGACGTCGACGCCGACGTCGACGTCGGCACGTCGAGACATAACGAGCCGACGGCCACCAACCTGGCCAGCCGCTTTTGCTTGCGCAAAATAAAGCAGTGTTCTGGCCGCCATCCGGCTGCATGGATAAGCCGATAATCGCGTGATCGGGCATGATCCTCGCGTTCGGATAGCCACTCATCATTTGTCTCGATATCGAGGACTGAAAGGGAGAGAAAGAGAGAAAAGGGAGAGAAAGAGGGAGAGGCGTCGCAGCACGCCTTCATCAACGCGTGGAGAACGTGTCTCGGTGGTGGACTACAGTGACGCGTGGGTGGTCCGACCCCCCTCTCAGGATCACGTAATCGTCGTCTGTCTTCCCGGTGACGTCATCGACACCAAGAATTACTACCGTGCTTACGAGAGACCGGTGCTCGTGCCGCTTGGGACCACGAGGTTGTCTCGCACGAGAGGTCGGATACTCCAATTCGGACGATGCTTTCAGGAAGGAGCGCTGGAATGCCGATGAGTCTCTGGAAGGATGCAGAGAAATATCCTAGAGAACGTTACCTAAAGTGGATTTCCTCGCGAATATTTCTCTCTATTTAAACGCGACTGTGAGGAATCTCACGTAATCTCAAAGTTGTCTCACGTCGAAGTTCTCGTTGGATATTCTCTCGGGAAGACATTGACATCGAACATCGAGAATACTCGCAGGAATTCCTGGAAATTCTGAATGAATTCAAAGCAGAAGATAAGTATCGCAATTGGCTTTTTCCGTTTACATGACGTCTGCCAAATTATTCCTGCATCGACCGGAATACAGAACTACGTTTGTGAGATTATTAATTTCGATTATTCTCGAAAGGGAAGACTCGAACGGAACAATTGATAAGAGATTGATAATGAGAAATGTACGTGTCCGAATTACCGATCACGTGAAAATCGAATTTAGAAGAATTTAGGCGTATAACTCCCTCCTGAAGATATACACAATTATCAACAAATTTTCTCTCTCTTTTTCTTTCTTTCCGCAGTATCGATTATCAATAGTTTCCATTGAAATGGGAAAAAATTAACGAATTGTGCATCGACGATCTTCATCAATCGATGAAAAAAATCTTTCGATTATCATTTTACAAATTTTGCTTTAAAAATCCGTTTGTTGTATCAAAATCTTTCGAAGTTGGATTTTAATGACGTCAATGAAGTTAATATTAGCAGCGAAGCGATATTACTTGATGAAAAGTGAAGAATTAGATCATCCGAAATGTTGCCAGAACGTAATTATTTATAGCTAATTGAGAGCTATCCATTCATTTGAATTATGCAACGAGATATATATCGATAATAAGTAATCAGTAATCAGTATAAATAAAAATTTTAATAATTGATATAATTCCTTTAAAAAAATATTTGAAATGTTTTTAAACATTTGTCTGTTTAATAAACTTATAAAATCAAAGATGAATCCAAATTTAAATAAACATTCGAATATTTCGAATGATTTTCAATAATTAATTTGAAAATGGGTTTGTTGCTATCGGTGTTGGTCGGTTGTGTCGGCGTCCTAGAGCTGCTGGCATGCCTGCGACACGCATCCAACAGCGTAGTGATCAGCATCAATCCGCCAACACCATGCCTATCATATCATGAGCCGTCTAACAATGACATTTTGAGCATCCACGATTCGCTCTGCAGTTTTAGTCACTCGTCCGACGTGAGGCTTCCTCGCGACGCCAGGCACAAGCTCGAAAACTTGCACGAGTACAGTCTGAGAGTGCGAAGTGAACTTCGGTCTTTGGACAAGAACTTTGACGGTCGAAGCACGCTATCGGAATGCAGCACGAGATATTTGCTTGGCGGTTCCAGACCAGACTCGAGGCTCAGTCCGGACTCGAGATTTAGCCCAGATTTTAGTTATGTTGTGCAAGAAGACGAAGAAACGTGGATTGTTCACGCCGATCGACATTACAATGACAACGACGACGACGATGATGATGACGACGATGAATATCTCAAAACGAAAAGATTCTTGGAGAAAATCAATACTGAAATCAGGGAAAGCTTACAAGAAGTCGCGCAATCGCTGGCTCCGCCGGAAACGAAAAAGTATGTCAGGATACCGACGCCGATCCCATATGCCCGCGATGAAGAAAAAATATCCGCTTCTTCAAGTGAAGTGGATACGTCTTTCGATAAGGACTCGGGCAACGAAGCGCCCACCATGAAATTCTTGGATGGTTTTCCAATCATCAAGAGGTACAAAGACTCGCAGTCGGCTTCGTCGGTCGATGAATCTGATCACGAGGAAAGAAAAATCGCGCGACGAGCACTCAAGAAATCTTCCTCGAAATCTCCAGATTTGTCGAAAAAATCGAAGACTGTCGACATCCCCAAAAAAACGAAGACGCTCTCTAACGATCTTACGAAAATCGAGTCGGCTGCCCGTGCAACTGTCGAGAAATATGAGACAGAAAAAACTTTCGTCAGTCAAAGAAAACCGAAGACCGGCAAATCCTCCACGACGATTCTGAGAAAACCCACCAAATTGAAGTCCAGGAACGCGGAGGTTAGTAAGTCAGCGGAGAATTTGAGCGCGAAGAAGACGAGGAAAAATCGCGATCCGGAGCGTCGCAAGTCTGACATATCCGTGCAGACAGTTCGTGATTTATTGAGGGACATGTCAACAAACACTTCTCCGACTAATAGCCCATCGTTGTCCAGATCGGAGAGTAAGAAGAGTGTCTCGGTAGAGGTACAGACTGTATTGGAAGATATATTGCAGGATGACGAAGTCCTGGACGAACTGGATAGCAGTATTGTCGGACTCTCCGAAAGTAAAAGGGATTTGTCCTCCCGAGGCAGTTCTGCCAGAAAATCCTTTAAAAACAAAAGATTTCGGTCCAATTCCAGAGATCAATCAGACAGTCAGGATAAACAAATTTACGCGGTGACCAATGCCATCGCCTCTGTAGAAAGATCGCGGAGAGACAAGATGAAAATGTTGAAAGTGTCCAGGTTTGAAGACGCCAGTGAGGAAGACTACGAAACAATCAGGGATGTTATTTTCGACAATTCGAAGGAATCGAATGGGTGGAAGAGGAGGGAGGACTCGAGATCGAAGTCATCGCTCGAAGAAGACGACGATATATTCGTGGATGCGGAGGATGTGAGTTCCGGAAGACCACCTATACAGTACACGACACCCGACACCGATCAGTATAAAGCATTCTGGGTAATGACTTGACAAATGAAGCTTGCGTTTTATAATTGCATAAATCTTTAGTTTGAAAGATTTCTATAATTTTTTTATAGAATCTTCGAAGATACTATAAAAAAATAGATATTTTAAGGAGAAATAGATAAATTTCAATAGACATCTATGTAATAATATCTATTTAGACTATTTTATTATTTTTTAATTATTGACTACTATTGACTACTTTATTATGAAAATATTATAAAAATTAATTTGAATATCTGTAATTAATTTCTTTATATTTTAAAGATAAGAAAGAATTGATTCTTCAAATATTGTTTTCTAATCTGTATCTTTTTTTTTAATAAATTAAACTTTTCAAAACTTAATAAAAGATAGTAATAAATTGAAAACTTATTTTACATGATTAAAAATTTAATTATATAGATATAAAAGAAATAATAAATATTTTGATTAAAAAAATTGTAATTTCAGAAAATTACTTCCTAAAAATCATTATTTTTATTATGTTTTTATATTAAGTCTTTTAAATCAATTGGACACGTGCAATTATAAATATTGCGGCTTCTTTAAAATACTACAATCCAGAATGGTGGTCCTTCTTATAGCTCATAGTTAATCTTGAAATATAATAATAGTATACATGAAAATATTCAATAATTCAGTAAATTCACTGCAAACGATGATACAAAAATCATTTGCTTACATTTTATTTTTTCTGTCTTAAGTTCTTAAAGATATTGCAATCTGACACCGAGAATGTGGAAGATTTCCGAGCAATTAGATTGACTTCTGGCAGTCATCCAAAATTGCAACGTATTTCAAGTGACGGATAATCACAGCAATTTTACGCAATTAAACTTACGCAATTAAACTATCTTCTTCTTCTTTTGAGAATCTTTGCTGATTCTGCGCATCATTTTTTAACATCAATCTTCTTATGACTTTATCCGGTTTTTTCAAATTTTATCATGTTTTCCATCCTTTCCCTCTCCCTTTTAAAGTTCAATTACAATTGTATAGAAGATAAGATATAAGAAATCTATATGATTACTCTTGTAATTAAATATAAATGACAAATTTTTGAGCAAAGTCAAATAAAATATCCTCAAAAAATAAATCATGATCAAAATCTTTTATAAATTTGATGTCAAATAGAAACCTAAAATAATAAAAAATAAAATAATTATGAAACGATTTCAAAACATTTCATTTGTCTATTGAATTAAAATGATTATTTAACGAAACTGCCATTTATATTTGTCATCATAAAAAAATTAAGTACACAATCTTCTTCATTTCTGACGTCACAATTGATGGTTAGCTATTGTTAATTCAATCATAATCTATACAAATTGAGTTAAAAAAGCAAGGATTTACTAAACTATTTATTCGTTACAATTACAACTATTTATTTGTTATACAATTAAAACTTGTATAACTACGAGTAGACTTCGTGAGGAATGGAGTCTTTTAATACTCAACTTATTTGAAACTTTGGCGACTAAAAATAATCGCCGTTAATCGTTGGTTTTCTTTATTCCGCAACTTTGGTCCAACGTATCAATAAACATTATTCGACAAGGCAAGTTGGATGAACCGAGTAGTTTGCTTACTTTATTTTTCATTCTATCGTGAGGAAAATCTCCCTCATGTTCAGATGTATTCAATCGTATCGCA